AGGTTGTTTCTGGCTGCTTTGGAGTCATGGAGGTTCGTGGGCGTATGGAGGCTGATGTAGCAGTTCGTGGGAGCTCGGAAATATGCTAAGGACCAGTGATCGAGCAGCAGATCGAGCATGGCCGATCGATCCAGGAGTTGATCGACCAGAAGATCGAGCCAGCTAGGCGATCCAAGGAGAATGATCGAGACGGAGATCGAGTGAAGTAATCGATCAATCGGTACGGACGTAAATGACGCCATGCAAAGCGAGAGCCAGATCGAATACACCACTCGATCCACCCGAAGATCGATACCGAGATCGGATGCAACACTCGATTCGCCGAAGAAGTTCGAGACCCGGATCGAGCCGAAAACACGATGCCCGGATGTGATCGAGAGAACCACTCGATCCAGTGGTCGATTTCTGTCCTTTCAACCGTTTTTGGCTGTTAGCGAAGGGGGGACCATTGGCTTGTTTGGGCATTTTAGGCAAGGCGGCGAGATGCTTTTTCGAAAACTTTTAGATTCTTATCTTTTCCTTTCATGTTTTCTCTCTCGTTTAACGAAGAACACCGTTGTTGAACCAGTTTTCTCTTAAGCTTTTGTATTCGAATCTTTATCGTTTAATCCAGTTTTTCTTTCATGTTTATCGTCTCATTTCTTCTGCTTTGCTTGATTTACTCTATGTGTAGTGAGTAGTTCATTTGGGTTCGGGGTTGAGAAGATTAAAGGGTAGAAAGGGTTCGATCTTGGTTTGTTTTCTAAACGTTTTTAAGGCTATCTCTTCTAAGGTGTTGAAAGCTTAATGCTTGAAGACTCTCACGCCAAGAGCTTCATGATCCGAGAGGTTCCTTACCTTGACAGGATCCAGGAGCCTCGGAAGATCACACCTTAGAGACTAGTTACCCCTTCCCAAAAGCCATGAAAGTTTGGGGGACTAGTTAAGCCATCTACTTGAAATCTGTTTTCCCTGCCTTTCGACCTCTCTTTCCACCAAAAGCCATGGGTTTGGAGGAGAGGATGAAAGAGTGATCTATACTGAAAGCCACAGATAGATCTTGTTTTGTTTTCAAGGCTTAGAGATCCTCACCAAGTGAGTCGATCTAAAGTTTCAAACCCAAGATCGATCCTTTGAAACCCTTTACATGAATCTCAACCCTAGGCCCTTTCTTTTAGAATCTTTAAGTCTTATTTCATCTTTTGCTCGTTACCTGATAGCATCCTGGTCATTAGATTTGTTGTTCTTACGGTTTTAGATGAGATCGATCGTTACTACTCGATCTAGTGGTCGATCTTGTGGTCGATCCACTAGTCGAATTTTAACAATTCGAAGCTCTTTCCTTTAATCAATCTGTTTGTTTCTCATGGTAGTTGCTTCCTTTCTAGTATTTTTAAAATAGGTTTCACTCTGTTTAGGTTGCTGCATCTAGTTCTTTGATATTTTCCCATAAACTGTCTCATTTTGCTTAGATTTACTTAGGACCTTGCATTCTTTGTGCATTCTCTGCCTCCTAGAAGTGGATTGACACTCTCCTGCTTGCCTTACTACAACATTGCATGCATTAGAGTTTTGATAACCTCTCTGCTGCATAAACCCTGCTTGAAAAATAGTTTATCACCATGCTTCACCAAAACTCTCACTATTCTTCTGAGCAAAATCAGAGATCTCATTCCTGATCCTAACTTTGCTAGAAGAACTTTGCTTGAAGACAACCCATCAAACTTGTTTGACAACTCCATATGAAGAGTATCCATTCTGTGTAAACCTCAACAAACCTCTTTGTGATCTTCACATTGGTAGCTTGTTGGCCTTGAAGGAGTTGTTGTAGCTGTCCTTTCACTTCAGAATCATTGGTGTTGGATGAGCTTGCTTGACATTGAGAGAATCCAGGAGGAGCAAACTGCTTTTTCTGGAAGTTTCTTTGAAAATTGTTCCTTGGTTCATATCCTTGGTTGAATGGCGCAAAAGGCCTTGACTGATTCCTTTGAGGTTGTTGTTCAGGGTAAACCTGGTCTTGGGGATTGGCAACATTGTTGCTTCTGTATGATATGTTTAGGTTTGATTTGTAGTTCCCATAACCATTGTAACCACCTTGATTCCCCAAGTAGTTCATATCTTCTACTTGTAACCCCTCTTCACTTGGCAGCACCACCATTTCACCAACATAGTTGATATCTTTGTGTTGCACTTGGAGCAGTTTGTCCAGCCTAGTGTTCAGCTCTTTCAACTCTCTTCTTGTAGACTCCAGCTCCTTCTTATTTTTGCCATCCTCTCCTCTTGAAGTTCTATTATAGTCTTCACTATAATTGTCATCACTTTGGGTTAAGTTCTCCACCAGCTCTATGCCTTCATCTACATCCTTAGATAGGAAGTTTCCATTGGAGGCAGTGTCAAGTAGCATCCTGATCTTAGGGAGAGCGCCTTTGTATAAGGTTGAAAGTAGTGAAGCTTGTGAGAACCCATGGTGAGGGGACTGAAGTGTGTACCCTTTGAATCTCTCCCATGCTTCACCAAAACTCTCACTATTTTTCTGAGCAAAACCAGAGATGTCATTCCTGATCCTAGCAGTTCTTGAAGTAGAGAAGAACTTTGCTAGAAAAGCTCTCTTGCACTCATCCCAGCTGGTGATACTTCCTTGAGGCAAGTTTTTCTCCCATTGGTGGGCTTTGTCGCCAAGAGAGAATAACCTGAGCTTGAAGCCATCTTCGCTTACCCCATTGATCTTGGTTAGTGAGCAAAGTCTATCAAAGTTATCCAAGTGATCCAAAGGGTCTTCAAGTGGTAACCCATGGAACTTGCTGCCTTGAACAATTGAGATCAATCCAGATTTGATCTCAAAGTTATTGTTCTGAACTGCTGGAGGAAGGATCCCTGTTCTGTTGTTGTAAGCGTTTGGGGCGTCACTAGCTCCAGTAAGTCTGATTGGGCGTGCACCATGTGCTGGTCCTCTCTGACCTTGTTCACCTTGGACTCCTTGCTGTCCCTGAACACCAGCAACTCCTTGAGCACCTTGCGCTCCTGGTGGTCCATGAAATCGCTGATCATCTATACCATGCTCCATACTGAGCTGATGAAACCTTTGCAGTCTCTCTCTTTCCCTTGTTGCTCTTAGTGCTATTTCCACTTGCAGAATGTTGTGTTGTTGATCCAGAAGGTTTTGATTGCCTTTAGACCTCAAGTTCATACACCTATAAGCAGAAGAGCAGCTTGCAAATCAGTAACAAACAGAAAAAATTACAGCTTGATCTTAAATAATCCACAAATCCTAATGCTTAATCTAAACCCATATGGCAACGGCGCCAATTTGATAGCTTGTATTTGACTAGCTAAGCAAATCGAAAGACACTCATGTCATTGCAGCATGTAAGGTATCAATCCATCTGAGTTCTTAAGGCACCAAGAATACAGCAAATCATTTAAGTCAAGCTAGATTCAAGAAAGCAGTTGTGATCAAACTAAACAAGTCTAAAGACTGAACTAAGCAAAGCAGGAAATTCAAATAGATGAAGTAAAGATCTAAGATGGGGGTTATTGATTAAGAGGGGATTAGAACCTAACTAGTGATGCTTCAAAACCATTCAAACAATGCTATCTTCTAGGCATATGATTAACAACTGTAACTAGCTCAATTCTTCATACTAATCACTTTGCTAAGCACACATTCAAGATAAATCCCTTTACTGAAACATATGATCAGCAAGCATTCAGAACAGAACTCTAATCTTATTAAGCCAAAATGCACCTTAGACATCTAATTCCTTAGGCTAAGCATACAAATCCTCTAAGAGACTCTAAGCAGCATTTCATCAAACACTTACCAGGCGCAAGAGAAAGCCAAGATACTAAACAAGCCTGGCCAAGAATAATCTAGTGTTAAACACATCTAATAGAGATAAGACAATCATATTAAGCACAAGACATCACTAATCTAGTCCTAAAACCCCTCTAATCTATCCTATCTCAAATCCTAAATAAGACTACTCACTAGCCATAGTCAAAACCACAGATTCCAAAGAGAAATAATGGTCATGCATGATTAGGAAGCAGAATAAACAAGAACAAATTAAAGGCAAGTACAGAAATCTACTAAATCAAACTAGTTCTTACAAAGCAAAGCTTAAAAAGGAAAGGTTTTAAGTGCAATAACAGAAGAAAAATAATAAAATCTAAGTTGCCTAACCATTTTAGGACTTTAGTATTTATAGAGGAACTAGAAAACCCCTAGTAAATCAAGATTAAACCGAAAATAAGCTGCCTCGGACAGACCATATCGGCTATGAACATCGATACGCATGTCGATATCATCTCTTTTTATGGATTGTATCGATGTCTCTTGGTCAATATGTACGTCGATATAGAAGGCTTCCAAGTTGTATCAGTTCGGATCTCCATGGTGTGAAGTCGATACAATCGCCCTTTAGTTAAGGCTCATCTATCAAGCAAGTCGATATGGCACCTCGGTATTGTCTTGTCATGTGTATCGGTCTGAGACGTCGATACACTGCTCGATATGGACTCCCTTCTGTTGCATCGAGGTGTCTCCTAGTTGATATGCTTCCTTCTCACCATGCCTATACTGTATTTATTCTGAAGTGGTCGTTACTCCCATCGATATGCTCCGTATCGATCAGATGATGCCGATATCATCATTGATATTGGTCTATCCGTCTTTGTCTCTTGCCTTGCTCCATTCCCAGCTCACACACATTGCACCACATGACCTCTATACTCCTTCTAGTACCTGAATAAAACTCCAAATGCATGCAAAATGCAATACAACTCCTAAAACTACACTAACTCCTAAATGTATGCAAATGGGACAAGAAGGAGCAAAATATGGATGTTCAAGGACTAAAACTAGTGATGAATGCAAGATAAAATGGTATAAATTATGGAGATATCAAGGGACATGACAATATCGACATACACTTTCGAGGTATATTGGTTCGATTTCATCTTTCGTCACATTTTCTATCATGATAGTTTCTGACCCACTTTTCTTTTTCTTATTGGTTCAGTTCATCTGTCGATACATGCAAGCAGAACCATTGCCTCAGTTTGTTAACATGTCCCGCCTACATGTCAATCTCTCGGCATCTGATTTGAAATGGTTTCCAAATTTTCTTGAGAGCTTCCCGAACTTGAAATCCCTCATTGTAATGATGATATGCTTAACCTTGTGAGTTTTTTCCTCTCTGTGTATCTTTTTCATTGCGATATAACCCTCTATTCTTTTCCCTCAGGTCTGCAGCGATGATTATAGGAATCCCACTGAAATCAGCTTCCCATCTGTACCTGAGTGTATGTTATCGTCTCTTGAGTTTGTGGATTTCAAAGGCCTCTTCCAGGGATGTGCTGCTGAAATGAATCTAGTGAGATACTTCCTAATTAATTCGGTTGTCCTTGAGAAACTCACTTTGTGTTTGGATTCTTCTTCAACAAAAGATGATATCTTGAAAAACTTTTCAAAATCCAAAGAGGTTCTTCCAAATGTGAAGTCGTTCTTCTCTGATTGGTAAAGCGTTGAGGGAACATAGTAAGCTTGTCTTTCACAGCTAATTGGTTGATGTAGGTGTAGGCTTTCATGTGTTACTAAGCATTTGTGCCTTTTGAGTAGATGAGAATGAAACTATTTAGGTCTCTTGTTGGAAATATCCTTTTTTTGGTGATTTTAGCTAAAGACATCGATGAAACTATGATGGTTTGTTTGTGTGTAAAAGACAATTTGGATATGCGTAGCAGTTTCATGGCAACATTTCTTTCTCAATAACAATTGTGAGACAGCTTTTTACCACTTAATTACGTATATGTTACATTTTACTGCTATATCTTAGTATTACAAGTTTACAACTCATGTAAATTGTTACACATATATCTTTCATATTGCTGACTAGATCTGTAGCATCCGTATCCGAGAAAATGTGGAATGATCGTACCGGACAGGGTGTTGTCCGAGGAATGACCGAGCCAAGGGTCGGATACTGGCTGGGAAATGGAGGTTCGGACTATGGTCGGGTGATGACCGAGTAAATAGTCGGGTATGGGCTGGATAGCCGAGCCAGATGGACCATATCCGAGGGAAAACAGGGTCCAGTCCGATGGAAATGGGATTTATCCGAGTGCAGTGGGATATATCCGAGAGTCTGGGAGGTTAGTCCGAGTGACAGTGGACTGTCTCCGAGGGGGAATAGGAAATCTCCGAGAGAAATAGAGGATTAGCCGAGGTGGGACAAGTTGTCCGAGAGAAATAGGAATATCCGGGTGAAAAATGGAAAACACCTCGGATAAGGGCGGTTTATCCGAGTGGGAAGGGATTTGGGCCGTGGGCCAAGTGTTTGGTCGGCTATTTTGGGGTTTATCGAAGGAATGGTCGAGCCGGTACAGGGAATAGCCGAGAGAATCGAATCGGACCGGGATAAAACTTACTGGAACCGGGAAAACGTCGGATAAGTCCGGGTTACCTAGGGTTTTGCGAGTATTTAAGGGATTTTGAGACTTTTCTCGGGAGAGTTGTGTTTATTCGAGAGAAATAAAGCAAAGAAAGAGAATAGTCGAGAGAAAACCTTAAGAAAAACAGTTTATCCCGAGGATATCCGAGAGAGATCAGGTTATCGCCGAGCAGAACCGACCATCGCCGAGATAAACTGGTAAGCGATCGGATGTTTCCCTAACTGTTGAGTTTTCATCGGATAACCTCGAGCTAATAGCCTTGTTTTGTGGGGTTTCTGAGGGAAAACAGAGTTTGGCTCGAAGAAAGGTGAACAGATCAAGAGATAGCCGAGGGGATAAGGATCGGATCGTACCGTGAGCCGAGAGATTCTTAGGGAGATCGGATATCTTCGTTTTGGTGCGGTTTTCATCGGGATTTCTTCTGACCAATCTGTTTCTAGCCTTGTCTAAGGTGAGTGCGTGACTGTGGTTGGGTCTAGGACCGTAGGATTGCTAGGGTTGAATGTTTGCATGTTGATTGTGTGATTTTCATGTTATGTGTTTGGAACTGATAAGCAATCCTTGTGTTGTGATATATTGTGGTGTTTACCGTGGCATATATGATGTTTAGCTAATCTCAGGGTAATCCGGATCATGTACTAGCTTAGGGGATGTGGGATTCTCACTGAAGTAGACATGGGTCTTAAAAAGGGATTGATCTTGGTTGGTTAGGCTAGATGATCATGGCCGTTTGATATTGTGATGTCTATTGCGAATTGATTGTGTTGAATGTTGAATCCGAAAGTATGACTGCGTGTTTGGTACTGACCAGGTGTTACGGGATGACTGTACTCACTAAGTATTTATAAAATACTTATGCCTCTCATCTTGAGTGTGCAGGTACTAAGCAGTAAGAGGGCGAGACCAGGCGGCAGTGATGGATATGGATGGATCGGGACTTGGTTTTATTTGTGTTAAGACTTGTGTTTAGAGTCTTATGGCTTTGGTGTTTGGTTGCTAGATGATCGTTTGTATTCATTAGCGAACCATTGTGATTTGTTTAAGTTAACCCTGAATCCTGTTTAAGTGTTTTTGAAAGTTAAATGAATGAGTTGCTCTATATTCTGCTGTGTAATGATAAGAAAGACTTAGAAAAATAAAGAAGAAAAAGTTTAAAAATATGGCTAAGTATAGAAACGGACACAGCCGCGGTACGGTTTACAGGGTTGGGTTACCACAAGTTGGTATTCGAGCGTTTTAACGCTTCTAGGACTGAAATTGGTGACTGCTGTTGTTTGGTTGTTTGTTTGGGGTTTATGGGGTTCCGATCCATTCTTCACTGCCAAGGTCTTGGGTAAGTTGTTTTGTGGTGTTGTGAAACACGTTTTGAGTTAGCTTCGGCTAACTGGCATTGTGTACTTGCAGATGGTTGATACCAGAAGAACCGTGAGAAACAATGGGGACAACCAGGCTGCAGGGTCTGTGAACTCAGTCAACGGTGATGTTGCTGAGAGGGCTAGGGAAGCCGAGAGACAGGCAGCTGCGGTTGCAAATGAGGCGGCTAGAGTGGCAGTCGTGGAAGCAGCAAGGAATGATGCGGATGCTGAGAACGTGGCTAGGAATGCTGCAGATGCAGCTGGAGATGCTGCGAATGTAGCACCAGTGGGGTTAGAGGCTGTGCTTGGGATGTTAGCACAGGTACTAGCTAGGCTACCTGCGGTGGCTCCTGCTCTGGCGGTTGCAGCAGCACCACAAGTAGTACCACCGGTGGGGGTTCACGCGGATGTGATTGGGGAGGAAGCGGACCAAGTGGAGAGGGTTCCGAGTTACCTCAAAGTTTTGGATCATATGGTGCGGTTGGGAACCAAGTTCTTTGCTGGAGGTTCTACACTGATTGAGGCAGATGAGTGGAGGATGAGACTGGAACGGAATTTTGAGTCTATCCGATGTCCAGAGGGGTACAAGAGAGACATTGCCGTGCACTGCTTGGAGGGTGATGCACACACGTGAGGGAAAGGAATTGTTGGAAGGCTGGTGAATGCGAATTGTTCTTATGAGACATTTTCAGCGATGTTCAGGAGTAAGTACTTCCCACAGGAAGCTTACAACGAGTTGGAGAAGGCGTTTCTGTACCTTAGTCAAGGGACGCTTACAGTGAGGCAGTATGAGACTCAGTTTAATCAGCTGAGGAAGTATGTGTCTCATGAGTTTGACACGGAGGAGAAGCTGATTCGCAGGTTTATGAGTGGACTGCGAGTTGAGCTAAGGAATGGGTGTGTGGTTCGTGACTTCAAAATAGTTGCTGAGCTTGTTGAGAAGGCGGCATTGTTGGAGTCTGGATAGGCGGAAGCTGCGTTGATGTCAGCTGGGGCTAGTACAGCCGTGACCAAGGCGGGTCAGTCTAGGGGTCAGAACCGGAAGTTTGGGAAAGGAGTACCGAACAAAGGATCTGGGGGACGCAGCGTGTGCAGCAAGTGTGGCAAGGCTCACGTTGGCGAGTGTAGGCGCGGTGGTAGTGGATGCCACAGGTGCGGGAGTTTAGAGCATCGGGTACGAGACTGTCCGGAGGAGGATCAGCGAGTGGTCCGTGTGTCCGGCAGTGATGGTGCGGTTCGGGTTTGCTACGGTTGTGGAGAACCAGGGCATTTCAAGCGTGAGTGTCCTAAGGCGGGAGTGGTGGAGCAGGCCGTGGCTCAAGGGAAGAGAGCAGGGGAGGCGCTTGCATCACATGCCAAGAGACAGGCCATTATGCCGAGGGTGTATACGACGAGTGCAGCAGCAGCCGAGGAACCGAGCACTTCTCATCCGATTACTGGTACGTGTGGTACTTAGTATTTTCTAAACTTGCCTTTGTGTGTTGTTGTGTGTTAGTATAGAGTCTTAGCATTCTAGGGAATGAATGTGTAGGGACCTTGCTAATGGGTGAGGTTGAAACCCATGTTCTGTTTGACTCGGGAGCGAGTCATTATTTTGTTAATCCGGACATGATCGGAAAGGGTCAGTTCCAGAAGGAACCCGGAGAGAACTTTGGGTTAGTTCAGGCGGCTGGAGGCCAAAGGATGTTTTCACTAGGAACGGTCAAGAATGTTCCAGTGATGTTTGGCGAAGTGAACATGCCAGCGGATCTAGTGATCTGTAGGGTTAAGTCCTACGATGTCATTTTGGGAATGGACTGGTTAGGCAAGCATAGAGCTCACTTGGATTGTCACCGTGGAACGGTGCGGTTTGAGAGAGACGGAGAGGTCTTGGTTTATCAGGGAGTTAGGCCAACCTCGGGAAGTTTGGTGGTTTCAGCTATTCAAGCAGAACGGCTGATAGAGAAAGGTTGTGAGGCGTATTTAGCAACGATCACTACAACAGAAGGAGGACCGGATGTAGACTTAGGCAGTATACCGGTGGTGCAGGAATTTGAGGATGTTTTTCAGGCGTTGGCAGGACTGCCACCAGCTCGTTCAGATCCATTCACGATTGAACTTGAGCCGGGGACAGCTCCATTGTCTAAAGCACCATAACGGATGGCGCCAGCGGAGATGGCTGAACTGAAGAAGCAGCTAACAGAGTTGTTGGACAAAGGCTTCATTAGACCTAGTAGTTCACCGTGGGGAGCACCAGTGTTGTTCGTGAAGAAGAAGGATGGGAGCTTCAGGCTTTGCATTGATTACCGCGGATTGAACCGTGTGACCGTGAAGAACAAGTATCCACTTCCCAGGATAGACGAGTTGTTGGACCAACTCAGGGGAGCTACTTGGTTCTCTAAGATCGATTTGGCATCAGGGTACCATCAAATACCCTTATAGGAGACAGGCGTGCGTAAGACTGCCTTTAGGACAAGGTATGGTCATTACGAGTTTGTGGTCATGCCATTTGGTTTGACGAATGCGCCAGCTGCATTCATGAAGTTGATGAATGGCGTATTCAGAGAGTACCTAGATGAGTTTGTGATCATTTTCATAGATGATATTCTAGTATACTCTAAGGATGAGGAAGAGCATAAGAGTCTTTGCGGACTGTTCTGGAGAAGTTGAGAGAACAGAAGTTATATGCCAAGCTCAGTAAGTGTAGCTTTTAGCAACGGCATATAGGG